ACTATTTTATATTTTTTGCCTATTACATTTTAATTTTTTGTGACGTGATATAAATCATTTATATTAAAATTTGATCAGGGACCACCTCAGCTGATTTTATTGAAATTCAAAGTTATAAGCAGTTTATTGAAGTAAACTAACTTTAGACTGCTAATATAAAAGATTAATTTTGAATATAATATTTTAATTGGTATTTTTTTTAACTTTAAACAAAGTTTAAAATAATGAAAATGTAAATGAATTATTAAAGAAAGAATTATTAAATTTGTGAAAATAAATTATTAGTTATGTACTAATTTAGTCTAAAAATAATACAGAAATTAAAAAGTATTTTTAATGTCTTAAATTTGGGTTTTTTGACAATTTAGCAGAGTTCATAATGAACTGTTTAGAGGTACCACACTTTAAATCAAAAGTTAAAAAAACACAATAAAATTGAGGTCTGCTTTTTATTGGTTTATGTATACAGAGTGTGTCAAAAAAAGAGAGAAACATTTTAAGTAAGGTAAGATACTAGGAACATGGAAAAAATGTTTAAAAAATTCTATTTTTTGACATTTGACATATTTTTATAATTATTTAGTAAAGGTACAAAAAATTTGCCAATAAAGGCCACAAGTAACATTAAACAGAGTTACAATTTAGAATACAGCTTCCTTGTTTTCTCTTCTAATAGCCTCTAGTAAAAAAAAGAAAATTATTTTTCCAACAGAAATAAATAGAGTCAAAGTGCAAAATCTAAACTCTCATAACTTCAAATTTTTTATAGATAGAGTTTTTTTAACATCTTTTCCATGTTATTGGTATCTTACCTTACATGGCATTTTTCTCTATGGCGCGGGTTCTGGCGCAGCCTGTATATATTTTCGAGGCAAGATACTTTTTGTTTCTTGATTTTTTTTATTTGTAAGGTTTTCATGTTTGTAGATATTGTATTTTATTTACAATCACATTTTTTTAAATAATAAAATATTTGTCTTTCTGTGATGCAATATTTGTTCAGCATGTATCTTTGATTATTATCGTACAAAAACTACTTTCCGACCAAGGGATGTAATGACATATTTTAGGTTAGGAATTGGTATATTACTGCAATGATTGCAAATATATGAGCAGGTATAGAAAAATGGTCAGACCAGATTAAAAATTAGCAAGATACAGGTTTTCGACAGCCACCCTGTATAAAGCAATTTTAATGGTTTTTCACCCTATATTTTTCAATAGGATGAAATGTATGTCAAGTTTTTCCTTACCGTGTGTGACAATGTTGACAGTCTCATTATGTAGATAAAAAAGACTGTTTACACATTCCCAGGCGGTCAGCATCGGTCTATACCCCGTATGAATGTAAGGATTGAACTGGAGATGTTTCGGCATGTCCTTCCATGACAAAAGGGTGGTCTTATTGCGGTCCCAAGTCTTGGTGTCGGAAGAGGCGACTTCGTCGCGACGTTGACGTTGTCTTATCTCCGTCTCAGACATCATGACTTCAACGTGCCGTTTTCACTTCTTCAGCTTTCAGCAGCACCGACGACATGCTTTCACTATCACCGCGACATCGTGAATGACACGCGCTCGTTCTTATGATCGCGCAAAGGGATTTAACGTTGCTAAGGTTTTGGACAAGTATTTATTGATTGGGGGTGGCGGCGGGAAGCGGTGGCGGGTTCAAACTGAGAGAAAAAATAGTACATTACAAACGAGGTGGTACGTAAATACGACATTACTCTGAGTGCTTATGTAAAGTATGTCCCCGGATTGAGTTTACAAGAGAAAAAAAAATGTCTTTGATTTTACGTCAAAACTGCAAAGGAAAAACATTTTTTGCTGTACTTCAAACGAGCAAATCTGTAATTAAAACTTTATTATTCCAACTCAGTAGAAAGAAAAGGTCATTTTTCGTTTGATTTTGGCCTTAATAATTTTTCTCTGCTTTTTAAATTCCATCACCATCAACCGCCATTATTATTTTGACAATGATGTCACTTTGACAAATGAGTTTACGCAAGTTAAATAAAAAAAATGTTTCTGAAAAACATAATTTTGAGAGCAACTCAAAGAAACAGCTTTAAGATAAAAAACAAAGTCATTTTTAACAAGAACTATCATTATTTAATTAATAAATTATTTATCAAAGTGATTTTAAAATTGTTAAATGGAGTAGTGCGCTCATCCAGAAGTAAGAAAAACTGCTACAGAAGCAATTGAATACTAATTTAGCAAAATATAATGCGTAACTTGACAATTTGAAAGAAAAAATTCCTGGTATTTTTGTAATCTTAACCTTGGCAATCCTGCATATTACGGCCCAAGAGAAGTAATGTTATTACTCCTCATGAGATATAATGACATGATTCCCAACCTTTAAAAGGTTAATAATCGGCATATTACACTAGTGATTGTGAATAAAAAAACATAAATTGGAGAAAAAAGCGGAAATTTGGGCATTTGGAGATACTTTGCTCTTCTGGGCGATAAAACTAGTAAAGTCTATTAATATTTTAAGCAATTAAATTTATTGTTTCAAGTGCCTAAAGTCGGCGGAGATATGCTGTTTATAATTTCGAAATTTTTCTACAAGATACAAACCGCACATTACGTCTAAATCTTCTTTTTATTTATTTTTATAAAATGGTGAACAGGCGAGAAAACTGAGAAAAAAACATAAATTGAGGAAAAAAGCAGAAATTTGGGCATTTGGAGATATTTTGCACCTCTGGACAATAAAACTAGTAAAGTCTGCTATCAATATTTTAATCAGCTAAGTTTGTTTTTATCAAATGCCTCAAATCAGCGGAGATATATGCAGTCTATCTAAAATTTTTAAATTTCTTCACAAGACACAAACCGAGTATTACGTTTAAATCTTATTAAATATTTTTGTAAAATGCGAAAGAGACAAAAAAAATTTCTTACATTCTTATTTGCGCGAAATCTGGATCATCATTTAAATTACTAAATTAGTCTTTACTGTATCGAATGAAAAAAAGTGATTAGGTATGTAAAAAAGTAAAACCGGTACAAAAAATAGGTTTCAAATTTAGACTCTCCATGAAAAAAAAATAATGGAGATACCTGTTTTTATTTTTTTTTGTGTTGTGTTGGGACAAAATTGTTTTTTGTATACCTACGCTCTCGAAAATAGCTGTTTTAGCCTCTAAAATGAGTTTTTTCCGGACACAATGAAATAGTAAAATGGTTATTTTAAGTACTCAGTTTCCAAAAGCTGTTTTTCCGGAAGAAACAGTTAATTTGGTTACTATAGTGGTGAATATTTTTTAATTAATAAGAGGTGTGAATTTTTTGGGAGCTTTAACAAAAAAATGTTGTTTGTAACACGTACCTAAAACGTTTTTGCGGACTCATCTGTTATTCCAACAGCAATGATTTGTCCGCAAAAACTGTATTTTAGGTACTTGTAACAAAAATAACTATTTATGAACTTTTTAAACGGGTTTTAAATTGCTTTCAGCATCTCAAAAACCGTTAAGTGCACCCTTCTTCGCTCAGAGGAGAGAAAGAAGTGAATATTTGTTAGACAGTGTAATTTTCTTTAAAAAAAATTGGGCCTATTCGAAAAATGATTTTCATATCTTTGCTACTATAATAAATAAATATTTTTTGACTAAATATCACACGTAAAAGTTTTACTGTTCAGCCATGGAGTAAAAATTCTATTTTTGTCTAAGCGTTTTTACTTTTATTGTGACATTATTGTCATTTACAATGTTGTTTCTTTCTTGTCTTTTTCGCTGCTTTAAAAATTTCTGGGGAGGTACATTGAAAATCATCAACATTTAACATTTTGCACTACTAACTGCACTATTTAAATTAATACTTAAACACTTGGGTACAAATTCCGATACTTTTATGATAATTGAACCCTTGATGTTATTTATGGAATAATAATTTTTTTTTTCGATAGTATCAGTTTAAAATTGAACTTCAGAATATTACTGTATTAAAACTTATTAGAGTTTTAAAGTTTAGCTTTGGCTAGTTGGCAAGTCATCGTTTCCCCTAGAGATAGTATGTTTACATAAGTGCGCCACGTTTTAAAAATTATACACATAATAACGACATTGTAAAAAGTTAGTTTTTGTATTTGATTAAATACATATTCTGTTCCTCCTGAAGTGTTATTTGCCTTGAAGTTTCAACAAAATTGAGTAAAATATTGTATTTAGTGAAAGAAATAAAAACTTGTAAAAACTATTAGAATGAAACAAGATTTATTTATTTATAAATTTAGTTATTTATAAACACATTTATTATATTTAAACTTAAAATTTTTCACTACCATCATTTCTGTAAATCATTTTTATCATTGGTAAATTCTAGAATTATGAAATATTAATAATAATAGTGAAGTAACTGAACTTTTACAAAAAAATGACAAGGTGAGACATTTATACGTATTTTCTATTTTATCTGTGAAATCTGCCGCAAGTTTTTTTAAATCCCCAAGTTTGAGATATTTTGAATTTTTGTTACTCTAGAATTTGTAGCTAGCTTTTCATTATCTTTATTTTTCTGAGAGGGTTTTTGAGTGTGTCATACTTAAGTTCTGATAATCATTTGACAAACTCATGATTTTTATTTAAAAACTATGTACAAACTTGTTCATTATTTTATTTTTAAATAATAATTTACTTTTAACATTTTTCTATTTTTATACAAATTATTATGTTTTTTCGTTAAATCAATATCTATAAAAATTATTCGAATAAATACATATTTTTACTGAAATGATTTCTTAATTTAAACGCCCACATGTATTGGTTACAAAATTTTATCTCCTATCACTTCTCTCGAGTGTTTTTCCAATCAAATCATTATAAGCGTATTTAATCTTAACATAAGGCTAGTTTGTCTAGACCCACAACAATGTTAAGGTAAAGTCTTTTACAATTAAACTTAGTTTACTCAATTTCAATTTGTAGACTCCTTGTTTTTGCAACGTTTATAAGTCTTGGTCATTTTGCTGACCATGATACATTCAAGAACTGCTCTCGAGTAAATTTTTGCAAGTAAATGATCAAATTATTTTGTTATATTTTTACTAACCCAAATATTGTAAATAGTACTTTACGAGACCGGCAACCTTTAGATAAATATGCAGTAGACGCATCCACTCTTGTCATTGACGACAACGGAAACGTGACAGTCACTCTAAAAGCAAAAGAAGGGTCGGATTTACAACTAGAACTACTAGCACTAGTCGACCGAACTTTCCGACTCAGAATAAAAGAGGTAGACTCTACGCGATACGAACTTAAAGACGTCCTAGTGTCAGAACCACAATTAGCTCAGTACGTTGTAAGTACCATCAAGTGCTATTTTACTATCAAAATTCTAGCATTGACAGTGTGATGCAACAAGACAATTACGTCACAATTCAAGTTGGTGAAACCACAGCCCAAATCTTCTACGACCCTTTTATTGTCAATTTCTACTTGGTTCAAGTCCACCAAGTAGTTATTGAGGGTAGTAGCCTTACTTTTGACAAGTCACTGGACCAAGCTTTCGCTTTTAATGTCAAATTTCCTTCCGCTCTTCAATTGTATGGACTTCACGAACATGCAGATAGTTTGGCGTTACAAAACACTGGTACCAATGGTACCGATCCATACAGGTTGCGTAATTTGGACGTCGCTGGGTACGAACTCGACTCACCCATGTCTTTGTATGGAGCAGTACCGGTTTTGTATGGCTGGGGGTACGAGCAGTTTAATTAGACTATTCGTAGTTTAATATATGCTATAGGACTTATTCGCACGCTGGTGTTTTTCTCCACAACGCAGCCGAGCAATGGTACGACATTACAAACGGCAAATGGGAAACTCAAGCTAATATAATGGTAGAAAGCGGAATGTTTGATTTGTTCGTAATGATTGGGCCTTCACCCGATGATTTGGTGCATCGGTACCTCGGTCTCACTGGCACTTTTCGTCTACCACAGGTACAGTCAATCGATTTGAAAATGTCGTGTTCTTAAAACGGGTGCGGATTGGATAGCCTTTACCTATTGTTTAGAAAGTTTATTACTTGTTTCGGGAATATTTAAAGCAAAATGAAGAATTCTGTAACGGTTTATTTTAGAAGACAAATGTTTAAGTTTAAGGCATCAGTGTTGTAGAGAACGATATTTCGCAAATTTTTGTATAGGTACCTAAAGTCTGTTTTTTTTTAATGGAAATTACCAAGTCAAAATTTTGGTGAAAAAATTGGTAGCAGCTTGTCTCCATAGCCACAAATTTTGTTTGCTTTTTGTTTTTGTCCCTAGAAATTTTGTTAAAAAATTATGGTTATGTGTTCCAATTGCGATGTTGTCAAAATTTTGACTTTTATGAATCTTGTGTGCCTGTTTCTTCTTTGAAAGCGCTATAATTGAATTGAGGACAGACATCATTACCTAAGGTCTAAAGACAGAATTCAGTGCTAATAGTTTTGACAGAAGCACACCGCAAGTAAGTACAATGTTGTGGACAAAAATGAGATTCTTGCTACAGAAACTTTGAAGAAAAAGGATGTAGGTATACACAGAAAAAAGTTATTTAGCAAAAGATACAAGTAGGTATTATGATGATTGGCAATAAATTTTGTGTAATTTATTGAAATGAGCTCAAAGTTGATGCATTTTATAAATTCTTCTTCAGCTTTAGTTTCAAAATTATTACTTTTTCAACTCATTCCTCAAAAAACGATGCACCAGACACTAATTTAATCGCGTTCTTTCCGAGATTCTTTCTCATTCATGTTTATTTTGTATTCTTGTCGATTTCTTGCTAAAAATTAAGAATGTTTAGCAAACCCGCATTACAAATTGCGTCTACATTTTAACGGGCCCCCTTTTTCTAACTTCCTGCTTGCGAACTATTCGTTTCCAAATTTCGAAAAACTGTTAGTGTACCGAATTTGTTTCTTTTTGCTGTTTCGTCTCAAATTTTCTTAGACGATTTTTTGTGTTGACGTTTAATGACATTGTTTTCAAATTAATTCAAAAAACTGGAACTGCCAACTTACTTTATTAAAATTACCATTAATGAATTTACTAGTGATGCCAACGTTAAGACTGTTTGGCATTTCCATTAAAAAAAAACAGACTTTAGGTACTTCACAACATGTCTAAATATTTTTAAATGTTTTAATTTTTTATACAAAAAACATTTTTTTACAACTACTTCTGACTGTCACCACTTACTCTTGAATCAAACATTTTCAGGTAGTTACAGGGAACAAAACTGAAGGTTAAGTATCTAAAATATTGTCATAGTCAAGTTAATAGGATTACTACTGATATGCGGCCGTTTCTTACCTCGCACACTACTGATTAGTAGGATTAGCAGTAACCTGACCTCGACGGCCTTAAAAGGAATGCTATCGCCCCTGCGACCTCATTTTCATTTGTAACGAAATGTGAAATTTTGTATTCACAAAAATTTTAATATTTTATTATAATTGATTGTTAGTTGCACATTGTTTTAAAGAAAAAAAAATTCATAAAATCAAATGCTGTAGACATGTTATAATTTTTATTAGAAAATTGCACGAAAAAAAATTTCAATTTTATCCGCGTTGTTATGGTTAATCCAACATTGCTTAATTTTTTTCAGTGTTTTTTGGCCTCTGTTCTGTCTCAAAAAAGTTTTAATACTTGAAAAGACAACAAAATCAATCAATTAATTTTTAATTATTTATTTTTTATTAATATGGGTTGTTTCAGCTAAACCCCAAATTAGAAGTATTGGGAGTTATAACAACAATATTTATCTAAAATTTTGTTTATAGCCATAATCGGTTAGCTTCTCCTTAATGAAAATATTTTTAAATGTTGATTACACCGGAAGTGGGAATCAACTTTGTTATTTTTAATTTTTTTGTTTTATTTTATTTTAATAGTTATTTATTCGACGAGTTTGAGTGCTTTATTTGACCGAGTGGCTTTTTAAACCACGAATGTAACGAGTGGTTTACCATCCACGAGGTGGAATAGAGCGTCCGATTTACACTCAAACGAGTTGAATACAACATTTTATTCTTCGAATTAGACTCAACAAGGCTTAAACTTGCTTTAAATCTATAAAAAATAATTTGACGTTTCGTATTGAGAAATGCCAAACAGTTGTCAAAACTTCCTTACACGGGAGAAAAATCGTAAATTTTGACAGTGTCGAAGAATAAATTAATTTTATTGCGTTTTTGGAATACTCAATTTATTTTGAGAGTTTTTATTAGTCTTCTTTATTCCTAAGTTTAACTGTTTTTGAAATACTTTATAGATTTTTTTTGGATTTGCACTTTCCTATTCAAAAATCGATAACTCTACCATTTTTAATTATTATAGAATTTTGTTTGGGCCCTATAAAGGAGAAAGGCTATATCTTGCTTTTGGTGAATTTATAACTGCAAAAATTATTAATAAACCGCTATAATTTAAGGTTACGTTTGAGAAACTTCAAATACCTTTAACTCAATTATTACAAACGAAAGGTTATATTTTTTTCTTAAAAAATGTTGGAGTTATCGATTTTTGAAAAAGAAGGTGCAAATCCAAAAAAAATAAAAAAGTCTAAGCGATGAAGCCTGATAAAAACTCAAAAAAACGTAATAAAAAATATAGTTTTTATTTAAAATAACGAACTTGATACCCACATTTGGTGTATAAATAAAATTTTAAATAACTTTTATTGTTGGAACTCTCACAATACTTCTAAAGTGGGGTTTAGCCGCTTGTATACAATATATAGGTTGAACATAAAGTATGGAACCAAGCGATTTTTTTTTAATCATTTGTCTCCAGGAAATACCTAATAATTAATATAAATTAAAGTAATATAAAAACGTGATTGTATTTTGATAATGAAATTTTTGTTTTGTTTTTGAGTCATGCGATTTTTGTTGTCAAAATGACAAGATTTATAAAAAAAGATTGATAAAAATTAAACATAAAATAGATAGATGTAATCCTTTGATCATAATCTTTATGAGAAAAATGGTTTTATAGTGGGTTGCTAATTAAAAAAAAATGCAGAACTCAAAAACAAAAGAGAATTTGGAAAATTTTATTCTTGATTAAACATTACATTTTTATAGTACTCAATTATTAGTTTTTCCAAAAAATAAATAATTTAAACAAAAAACATTTGGTTCCATACTTTTTATTTACCTGATATACTTAATACAATAAATTACTAAGAGACTCTTTCCTAAAAATAGTGTACATTTTTTTTAATTTTGACTCACTAAAAAGCTATTACTTCAATATTCATAACCACAATAACAAAATGTTCGGTAATTAGAAAGTTTCGTATTCACAAAAATTTTTAATATACTCGTAGTTTTATAAGTGCTGTTAGCTGTATATTATTTCTTAAGATAAACCATTTCTAGCTTGTCCAATTTGGACCAAGGGTCAAAAAAATTTATTCCATCACCCAAGTTGGGCCAGTTTACCTGTCAATAATAATACCAATACCTGTGTGGGGTTTAAGCTCAAATTTTGTAATCATGAATTTTGAATTATTGAATAGTACTACAGATTTTTTAAAATTTTACTGATTTTGTCGATATATTTGTTGAAACTACTGGAGTTAACTGCTCAATATGGATTTAAAAATAAACGAACAATAATTTTATAATAAAGTTATCAAAATAGAAATTGTGCAGTTTTCTAATGAGGGTTACAACACATCTACGACATTTGATTTTACGAATTCTTTTATCTTTAAAACAATGTGCAATTATAAAAAACTGCTATGGTTTAAAGAAACCACGATGCAAGTGAAACTATTGTTCTGATCAAAACTCACAAATACTGCGGAGCACTTGGACGAATGAGTAAGAATATAAATGCTACACGGTCAGCTGACGCGCCGCCATATTGGTTTTGGCTGCTCTGCCGTGCGCCTTTCACTTTACCCCTACTCCGCGGCCGGCTGTAATGCGACATGCGATAGACGGACGAAAAATTTTGAGGCGATGAAATATTAAAATTTTTGTGAATACGAAACTTTATTTCGTTGCCAATGTTCTTAAGTAAAAAATCTTCAATCTTAGGATGGTTGCGGTCGGAGGGACGACAGCAAGTCCAAGGGTTTGTTTTATGGACACGACATTTTCAAGTCGACTTCTTTAATAACTGTTGTCTAAAGTAAGCTTTGTTTAGTTGTGGACTCTAGGGTACCACCAGTCGCGTTGGAGTTACATGAGCCAAGAAGATGTGAAAGATGTTGTTGCCAACTTCACGACTAACAATTTTCCTTTAGATGTGATCTGGCTTGATGTTGATTACACAGATGGGAAAAAGTATTTCACTTGGGACCCTAAAACGTACAGTGATCCTGTAGAAATGCAAAAGAATATTTCAGCGGCGTATAAAAGACTTGTTGCAATTATTGACCCCCATATCAAGGTTGAGAAAGGGTATAATGTGTACGATGGAGCTCTTGAAAAGGGGTATTTTGTCAAACGGTCTAATGGCAGCGTTTTTGAAGGTACTCCACTTTAAAGTTTGTGTTTTGGTTCCCACAATTGTGGTTTTAGGTGATTGTTGGCCGGGTTTGAGCAGTTATGTAGATTTTTTGAACCCGGATGCCAGACAGTACTATGGTAGTTTTTATTCTTATGATAACTTTCCTTCGTCGACTCCGGTACTTGCCGGTATTTGGAACGACATGAATGAACCTTCTGTTTTTGATAACAGTATTGAAAAAACTCTTCCGGGAGATGCTCTTCATTTTGGGGACGTTGCTCATCGTGATATTCACAACATTTATGGCTTATTACACGTACTGGTACCACTTTCACATTGACAAAATACTGAAACTTGTTTTTAGACCATGTCGACTCATCAAGGGTTGCTAAACCGTGATAATGGTACTAATCGCCCTTTTATTCTCACACGATCGCACTTTGCGGGTACTCAAAGGTACTCTGCTATCTGGACTGGCGATAACACAGCAGATTGGGGGTACTTGAGTGTTAGCTACGACAGTTGTCTCGACGCTAATCTTCTCGGACTGGTATTTTGCGGTGCTGATGTTGGTGGGTTTAGTGGGAACCCTGATACCGAACTTTTGCAAAGATGGTACCAAGCAGGTGCTTGGTTACCATTCTATCGAGCACACTCGAGTGAAGGTACAGAAAGACGTGAACCTTATCTTTTTGATAGTGGGGTACAGGATGTCATCAGGAGTGCGATTCAACTGAGATACAAACATTTACCAGTGTGGTACACTTTATTCTATGAACATGAAAGAAATAGAGACCCGGTGATAAGACCCCTTTTTTATCATTATTCTTATGAATTGGAGACTTTTTCTCTGAGGAATCATCTTCTAGTAGGAAGGGATATTTTAGTACGAGCTGTTGCTGAACCAGGGGTGGAAACAGTAACGGTTCATTTCCCAGGTGGTCAATATGAACACTGGATGTCTCTTGATGGTACCGAAGTGTATGAAGGAACCACTGATGTTGATATTCCGGTTGATATAAAATCGGTTTGTTTTACAAGTGTTACAACTTTTGTTTAAACAGATTTTTATAGATTCCGGTTTATTACAGAGTTGGGAGTGTGATAGTTAGAAAAGATACACTTAGATTGAGTACTGATGAAATGATTAATGATGGTTATACGATTTATGCTAATTTAGATAGGGTATTTAATTTTTTATTGGATCAAAATTATATTAAACCTAAAATTTTAGAGAAATCAATCTTCAGGAACTGTATATTTGGACGACTTCACCAGCTATAACTACGCCAATAACAAACAATACAACTATTTGAGGATTGATGTCGATGATGTAAATGTGTCACTAACGTGAGTTTTATGCAAGTTTTTTCTAAAAAATTTTATCTTTGATTTTAGAAAAATCGATGAAGATTCAAATCCCGATGGTTTTGATTTTATTATTGATGAAGTTGTTGTACACAGAATTGTACAAGAACCACAAAATGGTATTTTTAATAGTCAATTTGTTATTTAACATCTCTTAATAATTTTGTTTAGGAAAACCGGGTCGCTATGAAAAACAGATTTACAGAACTGATGCCAATGGACAACTGCTCAAAAAATTGAAGTTCAAATATGATGAACCTATTTATATAAATCTTGGATTGTAGTTTGTTTTGTTTTATTAATAAATAGATTTACTCTGTACAATTCTATTTCTCGTAGTAAATTCAAAGAATTACTTAATTTTAAAGCAGTACGTCCGTCAAAAAAGTAAGATTTTTTATTAATTTGTGTTTAAAAAAAGAGAAATTTGTTTCATTGCACTTTAAGCGTGAAAAAAAGTGCCTTTTTTTAAATTTTTTTTGCATTTTTTGATGAAAAAATAGCGTGGCGTATTATTTTCTAACGCAAAATATTTACACAAAATACGGAAAGAAAATTAAATAAGCTTTTTTTGAAGTAGATAGTTTATGATTTTTTTGCGGACGTGGACAAAACTTTGTATGCAACTCGGCGAATTTGCAAAATTTTCTTCTCGTAAAAAATATATAGTTCATAAGTTTAGAAAATATTTATTTTTCAATTTAGCTTCAATATAGTTCCTGTTTGAAGATCAATTTTAATATTCTTCAAAAGAGTTCCTGACGCATTTTTGGTATAAACAGTTTCTTTGAATAGTCCTGGTTGTCCTTCTTCGGGCATTTTGATAATATTCCTGCGAACTATTTTCTCAACATTGAAGTCATAGTCGCCATTGCCATCAATGGTTCTAAAAAGCATTTGCAAAATTTTTGCACGAAAGTGGTTTTTACTTACGAAATTGAAACATCATCTCCTGACACGTCAATACTGATATATTTAAAATCAGAGTCATCTCGATATTTAAAACTGACACCATCATCGAGATAAGCTGTTCCATGAGCTTTGTTATTCTAAAGAAAAAAAAATAAATACTGACAACATAAGATTGTTTTTACCTCATCAAGTGTAAAATACAAGGTGTGAGGATCATTAACCATTTCAGCAGTATTTGATCTAACTTTGTCTTTTCTTACGATAACGCCTCCTCTTCTGTAATAAACTGGCAACTAGAAAAACAATAATAATAGTAATAATAATACACAATAAGACATTATACGTTGTCTCTAATGATAGGAACATTAACATTGCCAATTCCCATTTGTACATCTTCACTGTTGGCAGAGATCCAAACTTCGTTTTCACCACCAGGGAAATAAATATCCACAGATTCAACTCCAGCTTCTGCTACCGCTCTAACCAAAATGTCACGTCCTAAATATTCTAAGTTTAGTCAAATATTTTTGAAAGTGTGTTACCCTGACCGACAAGAATTTCGTTGTCAATATTATACACATCAATATTTTCTGGATATTGATAGAAAAGGGGTCTAACAATTGGATCTCCAGTTCTTGTATGTTCAAAAGCTAAAGTGTACCAAACTGGTAAATGCTTGTATCTGGTCTGAAGGGCTTCTCTGACTACAGCTTGAGTGTCTTCAGGTTTGAGATAGGGTTCACGTCTTTCTGTATCTTTACTAGAGTGTCCTCGGAAGAAAGGCAGCCAAGCACCAGCTTGGTACCACCTTTCAAAAAGTTCATTTGAGGGATTATTGAAGAAACCTCCGACGTCAGCACCACAGAGGACGATCCCCAGAATATTTGAATTTAGGCACTCTTGGACTTCAGCTAAGAGATACGGCCAGTCTGCTGTATTATCACCGGTCCATATGGCTGCATATCTTTGGGAGCCGGCGAAATGTGATCTAGTGAGGACAAAAGGACGACGTTGGCCATTATCACGATCAAGGAGACCTTTATGGGTTGACATTGTCTAGAATTTTGATAATAAAGTACTAATCTTGGATTGGTTTGAATTCCTTACATGGAGAAATCCGTAAATGTTGTGAATTTCATGGTGTTTGACGTTACCATGATGGAGGGCATCTGCGGGCAAGGTCATTTCCAAACTGTTATCAAAGACTGAAGGTTCATTCATGTCGTTCCAAATTCCGGCAAGAGTAGGAGTTGTATTTTTGAAATTCTCATACGAGTACATACTAGCATAGTAATCTCTAGCATCAGGATTCAGAAAGTCCATATAACTGCTAGTACCCGGCCAACACGAGCCTTGAAAAACCGACCCATCTGATTTTTTTACAAACAAATCTTTCTCCAAAGCTCCATCATACACATTGTACCCTTCTTCTACCTTAATATGTGGATCAATTATCGTCACTAATTTCTTATTAGTACTGTTTATAAAATTTTGCATTTCTACCGGATCGCTGAACGTATTAGGGTTCCAAGTGAAGTACTTAAACCCATCTGTGTAATCAATATCTAACCAAATTGAATCCAATTGGAAATTGTTACTATCAAAATTTGAAACCACTTCTTTGACTAGATCTTGAGTGTCATAGGTGTATCGTGATTGYTGGTACCCAAAAACCCATATTTGGGGCATATGGGCGGTACCAGTCAACTTGGTGTACTGTCGAACGACTTGAGTTGGTGTTGGACCAAGCAAAATAAACAAATCAYGAGTACCAGCTTCTGTCATAAAGTAGGCTTGAGTGGTACCATCGCTAGCACTAGTAGTTTCAATCCATTGTTGGGCTGCGTTGTGCAAAAATACACCAGAAGTGACCTTGGGACTAAATAAAAGTTAGTTTTACGCCAATTTGGACAAATGATTTAAGTACCCATGACCATATATGACAGGAACGGCGCCATATAAAGCCATCGGAGACTCAATTTCGTAGTAAGCAACATCTGAATTTTTGAGACGGTAAGGGTCGGTACCACCAGGCGCTGTGTTTTTCAAGGCTAGAGTTTCACAATGTTCATGAATTCCGTAAAGTTGGACGGCTTGAGGGAATTTGAGACCAAAACTAAACGGAGAATTAACTTTGGTCTAGGAAAATTCTGATTAGTTTTCTGAAAAATGAATAAGTTTGTGGTACCTGAAGTAGCGTCAGCATATCACCATCAAAAACAACTTCCAAAACTCCGTCTTTACTGAACTCAATACTGAATGGTGAGTACGTAATGCGAGCCGAGTTCGAWTTGGAGTTTGTTGAGATAGTTATGGAAGTATCTTCACGACCTACATCATCAAAACTTTTGCAAAATAATTTGTAACATTTTTTTGAAATTTGGTAACTTACTCTGTTGGTTTTGGTTCTCCATCGAGAACATCGACGAGTTCGTATCGTCCTGAATCAACTTCTTTTATTTTTAGTCTAAAAGTGTCTTCTTCAAGGCCGGAAAGAGTGAGGACCAAATCGGTACTACCATTGTTAGATTTGAGAGTTGCAGTAAGTGTGTTTTCATTAGTATTAACACTGTTTGGATCTACTGAGTAGTCATTTGAAGGTTCTCGACTTCTCAGGTTGCTAACAATTTTAGAAATAACTTCACTAATTTGAATTAAATTAAAATTCAATACTTACGTGCAAAAATCAACTCTGCTACAATCTTTAAAAGTGCCATGGTCGGCTGCAAAGCTTTGGTTTAGCACGAAGGTGATTGTCAAAATTTGTCTATTAACAAGTTATTTTGATTCATTTTTTGAAAAAAATAATAGTAATGTATACTTACATGAACATTATTGACAATTTAATACAAATCTGAAACAAGTGTTTTATTTATAAGTGACAAAAGCTTGTGATAATCTCAGTAATACTTACTAAACATTTTTTATCATGATCATGAATCATCGTTACCTAACTTCTCTGACCTTTATTATCGTTGTTAAATATAAATAATCTGCTTTAATTTTTTTAATTAATTTCCGGTGTTTGTGTAAGAAGTTAAATTGTTGTTGTTATAGTACATGCTTACCACTTCATATTTTCATTTGCAATGATAAAGGCAACAAAATATTTTAAAGTTATACGTACTTATACATAATGATAATGAAAAAGTTTAAAGTATTGCCAAGTACTTAAGCAGAAAATTATAAATACTCATTATACAGGCTCATTATACAGGGTGAATATAAAGTATGGAACCAAGCGGTTTTATTTTTAATCATTTGCCTCCAGAAAATAATAATTAATATAAATTAAAGTAATATAAAAAATGTGATTTTATTTTCAGAACGTAATTTTGTTTTGTTTTTGTGTTATGCGATTTTTTTTGTCAAAATTGCAATTTATGTGAAAAAATTTTTTTTGAGAAAATTAAATATAAAGCAGATAGTTGTAATCCTTAGAGTATGGCTTTTATGAGAAAAATGATTTTATAGTGGGTTGCCATTTAAAAAAAATATTTTTTTTTGTAGAACTCAAAAACAAAAGGAAATTTCGAAAAATTTTATTCTTCTTAAATCATCACATTTTTATAGTACTTTATCACTCATCAATTAGTTTTTTCAAAAAATAAATAGTTTATGCAAAAAACGTTTGGTTCCATACTTTTTATTCACCTGGTATGTATACATACTTCAATTTTCAATATCATTTTCAAATGTTTATTTTTAATTCATAGATTGGTTGATATAGTGTTTAAAAATGTTGTTGTATTAAGTAGGTAGTAAAATAAAAGATACAAGTTAAGAAATTATTATACAGGGCTGTTTCGTCTAAATTCCACATTAGAAGTATTGGGAGTTGGAATAATCGTATTTATTTGAAAATTGGTACATAGCTATAAACCATTAAGTCCTCCTAAATGAAAATATTTTCAAGATGGCGGCACTTCCGGTTATACCGAAAGTCGGTCCTAACTTTCTTATTTTAAATAGAAACATATATTTTTTACTGCGTTTTTGGATTAATTGGGTTATTTTAAGGGAGTTTTTGAAATATTTGGAGTTTTTCAAATTTTTTTGGATCTGCACCTTCCACTTTAAAAATCGGTAACTCTGTCATTTTTTAGCTTTTTCATTCGTTTTTTGTCGTTTGAAAGAGAAAGCTTAGATCCTTTTTCTCGTGTTTTTAAATTTTGAAAAAAAATTAACAATCCATAAAATTTTAAGGTTACTTTTGTAATAATTCAAATACCCATAATTAAATTTTTTCAAATAAAATACACCAATTATTTTTAACTAAATGGATTTAATTCTGCATCGATCTGTATTAACATTTCCTATACCTAAAGTTAATAATTTTTAAGTTATGACTTTTGGTTAAGACTGTCGAAAATCTATTACGTTTTCGTATAGTTTGCTATGGAAATCAAAAATGTTAAAATTGTTTCTCAATAAACGTCGACAGTGACTTATTATTTAACAAATAGTGCCAAAATATGGAGAGTCAAACTTAGATTTAATGAATTTATTTTGTATTTATGGAAAGTGTAACAAAATTATGATGTCGTTCATTAAACAAAAATAATTTTTTCTCACTTGTTAGCTTTAAATAATGTTCGCATGGTAGAACCTATTAATAATAATTAAGTTTGCATAACTTTGACTCTCCATATATTGGCACTATTTGTCAAATAATAAGTCACTGTCGACGTTTATTGAGAAACAATTTTGACATTTTTGATTTCCTCAGCAAAGTATGTGAAAACGGGAGTGGCTAGTAATAAATTTTCTGTAGTCTTAAAAAAAATCCATAACTTGAAAATTACTAAATTTAGGTATAGGGAATGTTAATACAGATTAATGCACAATTAAATTCTCTTCTATTTAATAAAATAAAAATTGGGATATTTCATTTGAAAAAATTGAATTATGAGTATTTGAATTATTACAAAAGTAACCTTAACATTTTGGGATATGTTTTTTTTTTTCAAAATTTGAAAACACGAGAAAAAGGATCTAAGCTTTCTCTTTCAAACGACAAAAAACGAATTAAAGATCTTAAAAAATGACAGAGTTACCGATTTTTAAAGTGGAAGGTGCAGATCCAAAAAAAATTGAAAAACTCCAAATATTTCAAAAACGGCTAAATTTAGGTATAGTGAAAGCTGATGAAAACTCTCTTAAAATAACACAATTAATCCAAAAACACAGTAAAAAATATACCTTTCTATTTAAAATAAGGAAGTTGGGACCGACTTCCGGTATAACCGGAAGTGCCGCCATCTTAAAAATATTTTAATTTAGGAGGACTTAATGGTTTAAGGCTATGTACCAAATTTCAAATAAATACGATTATTCCAACTCCCAATACTTCTAATGTGGGACGGAACACCCTGTATACGTTTAAGAAAAGTTTATTTATAAGTTTCTCGGAATTTATAGAGCATCAACGTTTTAAATAATAATTTTGCATTTATGATCAAATGCGGCTTAAATTAAGTGTGTAAAATTATTTTATTTATCAAAATATAATGTCCTTCAAACTCTTTGAAGATTTAGTTTAAAGATATTAACTACCTATTCATATCTAGTTTAATTTGTCACAATCATGAAGTAGTTACATGATAACTTGTGGCATGATTGTGAAACTCAAAATTTTGTTTAGGATATGGAAAGGAAAAAAAAACGAGTTAACTTGTCGATTTTTTTAATTGATTCTCAATACAGTTTTATTTTTAAGATCAATTCTAATATCTTTTAGAAGCTTTCCAGAAGCGTCTGTAGAGTAAACAGTTTCTTGGTACCGCCCAGGTTGACTTTCTTCAGGCATTTTGATAATATCTCGACGTATAATTTTTTCAATTTTTAATTCAAAATTGCCATCACCTTGAATGGTCCTAAAAACAAAAGTAATTTGCAAAATTTTAACACAAAATATAGTTTTAGCATACGAAATTGTAACACTGTCTCCTAAAACTTGAATATCAACATAGGAATAATCATTGTTATCGCGGTATTTAAAACTGACACCATCATCAGTGTAGAGAGTTCCATGGGCTCTATTAGTCTGAAATTATGAATTAACATGGAAGCCAAAAATCAATGATGTGTACCTCATCGACTGTATAATGTACTGTATAAGAGTCACTTGCCATATCAGCAGTATTTAGCCTAACTGTATCTTTTCTGACAATAACCCCACCTCTTCTGTAATAAACTGGAATCTGGGAAAACAGTTAAAAACAACTCGAATTCGAAAAATTCATACGTTTTCTCTAGTGATCGGAATAGTGACTGTACCATTTCCGACATGTACGTCATCACCGGTCGCAGAAACCCAAACTTCGTTTTCACCACCAGGGAAATAAACGTCAACGGATTTAACTCCTGATTCTGTTACAGCTTTCACCAAAATGTCACGCCCTAAAAACCGAAATTAATTTAAAATTTTCTAGAACGGGGGTCAACTGACCGACAAGAAGTTGGTCATCAATTTTATAAACATTAACATCTTCGGGGTATTGATAAAAGAGAGGTCTTACAATTGGGTCTCCAGTTATTGTATGTTCGTACGCCAAAGTGTACCAAACTGGCAAATGCTTGTATCTAGTTTGAAGGGCTTCTCTGACTATCACTTGGACGTCTTCAGGTTTAAGATAAGGTTCACGTCGTTCTGTGTTTTTGTTAGAGTGTCCTCTGTAAAACGGAAGCCAAGCTCCGATTTGATACCACCTCTCGTAGAGCTCATCATCAGGGTTGTTGAAAAAACCACCAATGTCAGAACCACATATGACGATACCCAGAATATTAGCATTTAGACATTCTTGGACTTCGGCGTGGAGATATGGCCAATCTGAGCCGTTATCACCAGTCCAGAAAGCTGCGTATCTTTGGGATCCGGCGAATGTTGATCTAGTGAGGACAAAAGGACGTCGTTGGCCATTATCACGATCAAGGAGACCTTTATGGGTTGACATTGTCTAGAATTTTGATAATAAAGTACTAATCTTGGACTGGTTTCAAGTCCTTACATGGAGAAATCCGTAAATGTTGTGAATTTCATGGTGTTTGACATTACCATGATGGAGGGCATTTGCGGGCAAGGTCATTTCTAAACTGTTATCAAAGACTGAGGGTTCATTCATGTCGTTCCAAATCCCGGCAAGAGTAGGAGTTGTGTTTTTGAAATTCTCATACGAGTACATACTAGCATAGTAATCTCTAGCATCAGGATTCAAAAAATCCATCCAACTGCTAGTACCAGGCCAGCACGAACCTTGGAAATTTGTCCCATCGGAATTTTTAACAAACAAATCTTTCTCCAAAGCTCCATCATACACATTGTACCCTTCTTCTACCTTAATATGTGGATCAATTATCGTCACTAATTTCTTATTAGT